TCAAACAATGACTTGGCAGCGAAGTATGAAGGCCATTACCAGCAAACTCAGCTGCGCTGGTCATTGCCGTCTTCCTGGATGGGGACCCCGAGACGGGCCACATCAAAGGCTAGAGACATTATCAGACATGGCCCAGTCGTGCCCTCAATGGCGCTCGTGCATCAAAGCTATTGCCTTCAGTGCACAGATCTTTTTCCAACCTCCTCACTTGACAGCCCACTGACAGTGTTGGATTTATGCACCAATTTATCAGCTCCCGCCTGCAATGCGCAGCTACCTCCCCCTCCCCCTAAATCATCGGTGAACGAAACTGCGGCAGCTACAACCACTGTACGACGAGTACGTGGTTATTACAGTGACGAGGATGAGGATGATGAGCCAATCAGGTGATCTGTTCACCGAGCTTGGTAGTTGGCTCGCAGACGTGTACCGATGATCGTTGCTGATTATCACCGATCATCAGCGCAATGATGATGACTCATCGAATGGTGACGTGTCGTCTGCCGAAAACTAGACAAACAGACCATCAGCGATCTCATCACTTACCACTGACAAAGCAACGTAGAAAACGAGAAGAAAACGAGAGGCAAATTATGGTCATTTTGGGCGCCAGATTTCTGTCGCTCCTTACCTGGGCTGTGAGCGAAATAACTCGTGGTTTTGTGGGCAACAAATTCTCCAGGCTGATTGCATCAGACCATGAACTTTGATAAACTTTTGGTTGAATGGTGGGTTGGACGAATTGGTCCTCGTTGGCGATGATTCTGACGCTGAATTGAAGTGTAATGGGAAGCACTTAGAAAGCAATACAATGTAATAATCACTGCATGTTAATTAGAGCCAGTTAGCTTTATTGTTCATATCCAGAAGTAATCAATAGAGTTGAAGTCAACCAAAGGATCGATCGTAAATGATGGATCCCGCCAATCCACAGCTTCAAGTATTCACAAACAATACAAGTTTCAAGCAACACTGAGTTCGCACACAAACACGGGTGAAAATTTTATCGGCAATGTGAGGGGATTTGAGGATTTTCACTAGGGACATTCCCCTTCAGATGAATCCAATCTATGCTGAAAGCTGGGAAACACAGTTCCTTCCTCACTGGCAGTCATCACTTGTTCACATCTCACGAAACACCTGGCAGTTTCGAACCCGTAAACTTTGAGTTACTG